GTTAGGTTCTTGCAGGAGAGCAAAGAGTTCAACAACAACAGGAACACAGCAACCAACCAGATACAAGCGACACGTTGTATCAAAACCACGAACACTGCCTAAGAGTATTATAACAATCCAAGTATGCTCTGAAAGTACAGTCTCTTTTATTAACTGACGAACACGTTGCGACGAATAATTGATGACAATTGAATAAAACACCATCTGTCTACTAATTTCTGCCACACACACACTGGCAGTCTCTAAAAACAAAACCGTCTCAAAAAGCGGCACCTAGTCTTTACTTTAGCATAGTAAAAAACTATCGTCCGGATAGGTGCCAGCAACAAACGGCACAAGTCTACACAAGACTACATTCACGGGGCTGGCGAGGCTATTGCATGGACCTCACTTTCAACTTCTTTGGAGGTTGAAAGGGATATCCTGGGATCTGTAATCTCTGTGTGGTCAAACCTTCGGGTAGGATTTCAGTGTACAAGCATTTCTGAGGTTAGAAAATTTTACTTGTTGGCTAGAAATACTAATAATTCAGTAGCTCCACTGCACTACTGAGCGAAACAATCAGTGTGGGTGTATGTATGAGCACATTAGTATGTGCGTGCTTGTGTGCTTACGTGTATGTGCGCTCTGGTGGCTTCCAACATTTTCATAGTAAAGTCATAAAAAACAGCTATCGACTTACCAACTGCTTTATCTCTAATTGAGCTTCCCGCTTCACTTTTGCCATCTCCAACTCAAAATTCTGTGAATGTCTGCGAAGATCATTGGAAAACGTTCTTCCGGCAACTTCTGCTGAGTTCAGAGTATCTTCAAGTTCCTTCTTCTCACGCCGCAGTTCTTTAAGATCATCAAGGAGTTTGGATCTCCGAACGTCTATGTTGAGCTTCAACTCAGCGTGCCTATTTTCTCCTAGAAGGCGTTGCACCATGACATCTTTGCAGGATACTTCCATTTTCAGTTTCGTAATCTCAGCATCTTTGTGTCTAAGATAAAATTTTAAGAATAAGTTTAATTTTAATAAACATTGTGTCCTATTTTTTTTTCTTAAAATAACAACGTGACAAGTAACTCTAAATATAACTTCCCCCAGTTCGGGATGTAGTTGTTATTTCAAAGCTCCACCCGGCTGTCGTCAGGGCCCTAAATATAGCCCAAGGATTGAACGGATTTTCTTGGACTGGCTCCCGTGTGGTTTTCATCCAGATGGTGGCCCTTTGTGTCACCAGGTGTTTATCGCTCATTGCGCGGTCCTGGTGGGGTTGAAAGTCAGTCAGTCAGTCTGTTCTGAGTACACCATGAGATCATTAAGTAAAGACTAAACCAAGTTCTTCTTCTCCTCCTCCTTTCCCTGCACGTTACCTCACAGAAGTATTGGAGGTATAGTGGGTTTCCTCTGTGTACTCTATCTAATGCGTCATAAAAATTAATCTTCATTTTATCCAAGCTGTTCTTGATACCATGCTTTCACCTTTCGGGTGATCTTCTGTGTCCAATAGTTTTCTGCAGCAAGACTTTTTATGGCAGTTATTACCGCAACATTTGCGTCAGATGGCTAAACCAATGTTGAAGTTCGTTCGTACATGCACGTACACACACACACACACACACACACACACACAATATATATATATATATATATATATATATATATATATATATATATATATATATATATATATATATACACGAACACTCACATATATATATAGACACACGCACATACACATATCCTAAATTCTGCTTGATTACAATGTATGCAGCTTAGTTGAGGAAAGGTGATTTAAAGAAATTTAGTTTTTTTTTTTTTTTTTGAAGATTAGTGCTGGGATAAAATTCTAGTTCTCAGTGTTTTACAACGGAATTGTAAAGACAATTGACGGAGTTCTTCTATTTCAAAGACAATGTAAATTCCATGGCACTTCCATCTGAGGAAATGAAAACTGACTGTGTGGATGAGCTCTGTTCCAAAAATATCAGATTAGGGGAAGGAAATCCGAAAAAAAGTAGAAGAAGAAAAAGTAAAGCTGCACTGCGACCCTTACAAAACAAGCTACTGATATCAATGTTCCTGAGCTCTGGAAATTACTGTCAGAAGAATCCTATCAAAATATTCAAATCGTGGCATTTTATATGAAAGTATTTTTGTTGTTGGTCGGATCTATATATCTACGCGAATCACCGTTCTCTGCAATGAATGCTATAAAATCGCAGGAATAGACAACAGTCAGTCTTTAGGATCCATGGAGATGTATTCGTGTGGTTTTGTTTAATTTCTATATGTGCCGCAACGTTCACGTTTCGTTTGCGTTTTTTATATTGTGAAGCTAATTTTCGTTCTATGTTTTTCCTTTCTCATGACTGAAGTCTAATGGTGGAGTGGCAGTCTCGGCCACATACTTGAAGTAGCGTGACCTCTCGAGGGCAGAGGTATGGGAATGTTGAATTAGAGAACAAGCTGTTGCACAGCATCAGGTCGTTCCACTCTCCGTCGTTGGTAATGCCAAAGAAAACGGCAAGTGTCAGTTATACCTTGGCATCGAAAACGTTGCAGGAATTTCTGGAGGAGAAGTTTTGAACCACCTTAGAGATTCCAGCTCCTGATTTTTCTTCATGGTTTATTCTTGAAGTTCTTTTCCTAAATCTGGTATTGCCACAAGGCAGTGAAGGTTTGGAAATCAGTGTTCCGTCTCCTTAGACGATCTATAGTCTAAGGAGATGAACCCAGTAACTGATGCTCATATAATTTCCAGCTTGAGTGTGGCAGATACCCCCAATAGTTTATTGCTTTCATTTGTTAGGTACTCTTGATTAGTTTATCTCTAAAGTTCATAAAGTCGGTCACTAGTGATTTTCGCAAGCGATATCTGAAATAAAAAGCAGCCTGCGAGCTACAGGCAGCCCTACCCAGTGTTGGCTTCAGCTTACTTTGTAACCGCCAGGGTCCTTAATATAACTTTAGGGTTTAATGGGATTTCTAGGATTTTTACTTGTGGGCTTCTCATCCGAGTAGTTAGACATTGCACTTTGCGTCACTGGGTGTTAATCGCTCAGTGTGCGGTCCTATTGGGGTTCAGTTTCTCTCAATTTCGATTGCTGGCCCGCGAGATCGGAACCCTGATAGAGACAGTTAAATCACCTACATGTTTGCTGCACGTGTAGATTCAGTTTTTAACGTCACACTTCTCGCGAACACTTACCTCACAATTATACACGATTTACTACAGTAAATGACTTTTCTCACCGCCTTTGGGCGTCTTGGGATTATATATAGGATTAGACCTAAATTTTATAAACCAAGGCACTCGATGGGCGATATGGTTTACTTTACATCACGCCGGTCGCCTTTATTTCTCAGAGTTCTTCCTTGTACCCATTTCATGGCTGGGTCGACATGGGGCATAGGTCATATTTGAAAAATGTCTGGCTCCGTTCAGAAACGTTCCCACAGTCTCCGGATCTGCTAGGGAGCATCTAGCCGCTACACTACGGCGGCCCCCTGGCGCTTTTTGTAAGACTATTTATTACGTTCTTAACAAAATATAAACACACGGAAAACTAAAAAAAAAAAAAAAAGTTAGAATACAAGTAATAATAATCGTGGTATGGGACGCCGCAGGTCGACCCAGCACTAAATGGGTACCAGGATGGGCTGTCCTGGGAAAGTAAAGACGGCCGGCGTAATGCTGACCACATTACCCACCGAGTGCTGATTGGTCTGAAAAATATGGGTGCTCTTCCCATATGCCCGATGCGCCTAAGGGCGTGTAAAGGGGTCTTTACTTTACTTTACTTTACTTACAAGGAACTTATTATTACTACAGTAAATAAATGAACAAAATCATTTTGTTAAATGTGCACACATATACGCTGCTTACAATACCCATAACATATGTGATAATATAAAAGCAATTTATCCTTTGTTTAAAAAAATAAACTGGCATTTGCTGTATGTGGTGCTTGTCCCATAGAGACTAGCTGGAACTTCATGGATAATAGGTGATCTGACGAATATCATATCGACAGCCTTTACTTCCCAGAACATTGCCAGTACCAGTGCTTTTTTTTTTCTCAAGCATCCGTCTTTTTAGAGCCACTCTAACAGACACTTTCTGGGGATTACTGGCAATTTTTGAAAGACTTTTATGGTGAAAACTGGCACTTTTTATGTAGAAAAAAAGCTCTGCTCAGTACACACATAACGTTTACGTCAATAATCTTCTTTTTCTTCTTATTTCAATCGCTTGAAATAAATAATCTATATGTCTGCAGTTGTTTCTGATATGAACTTCACTGTCTTTAGTGATCAACCTCAGCGACCTAAAGTTTGACTTTCACCGATGTTTCTCTTAGCCAAATGTTTTGCCTTGATATGTTGTATTTGGGACAGTCTTGGGGGACATGATCTGTTGTCTCTGGTGCTAATCCACATGTCAATAATCAAATAAAAGTACAGTCACATATTTCAGTATCCATAGTTTGTACATGCGTAAACTAAATACTGACTGCACACCTGGTTAATTTCTGAAGGTCTAACTCTGCCTTAGCTGTCAGCTGATCTCGTATATGTTCCAGCTCCTTGGCTTTCTCCCTGTCAAGCTTCTCTTTCTGCTCGGCCAGTGCCAGGGTCAACCTCTCATGCTCTTGCTGCCTCAGCTGTCGTAAATCTAACACCTACATGATCAGCACAGATGGAGCAACACATCGATGTATAGCAACATACAAAAATGTAGCAACATGTAGATATTTAGCAATACGTATGTATGTGTATATATATATATACAGTAACATAAATAAAGCAAAATGTAGATATTTAGCAACATGATAATATATAGCAACATAAAGATATACAGCATCATGTAGATGTTTAGCTATACACCAATATATAGCAACATATAAATATACAACTGCTAATAGATATTTAACAACACATAGATATATATAGCAACATATAAATACATAGCAACAGTCAGATGTTTAGCAAGACAGAAATATATAGCAACAAGTACATATATATAAAAACGAAGAAAAATGGCAACATGTAGACAAGATACATAGCAAAACATAGACATAAGCAACAAGCAGACATACAGCAACACATAGATATATAGCAGGGTACATATGTAGAAACATGTAGACATATAGCAGCACACAGATATTTAGCAATGCAGACTTATTGCAACAGGTAGACTTAGAGCAACACGCAAATTTTGAGCAATGTATAAATATATAGTGACTAATAAATATACACAGCAAAGCAAAACATAGATTTATAAGAACAGGTAAATATAAAGCATTTGGAAAATATAACAGAATAAAGATATGTAGCAAAACTGAAAAAAATACAAACATATAAAAATTTTTTTTTAAACAATAGAAGTAAAGCAATACATAAATACATACATATATTATATACAAAGCAACCCATAAACTTTATATTGCCACATGTAAAACATTTCAACATCTCAATATATTGCAACACGTAAAATATTACAGCAGACAGAATATAGCAACAGATAAATAAACAACAAAATGTAAAATATAGCGACACTTAAAAATATAGCAACATGTAAACACACAGTAACCGAAAAATAGCAACCTGCTGTCTGCTATAATCAGGGCCAGATTTAGACTTGATGAGGTCCAAACAAAAGCCCTTTGGCTCCTACCATTTTAAATAACACCATTTAATCTCATGAAACTTTAAAATATACACGCATTTTGAGCATTTAGATCATGGAAATATATTGTCGGTGAGTTTTTTTTTTTTTTTTTTATTAAGAAATAATAAAGAATGTGTTTGCAAAATCACACAAAAATTATATAATATAATCCTTAAAAAATTTTAATTGTCTTTGTGTAGGAGGGTGGGAGGGGGGGGGGTGGAGGCTGTGAGGTCAATGCAGATTGCAAGTTCCTAAGCTGTAACTTATTAAGTGTATATCCAAAAACCAGCACTAACTATCACCGGTATAGTATCAGTTGGTTTTATTTCGTTAACTACAACAGCATCATCTAGTACCTTTTGCCAGTGTGCATGTTTGATGTTTCCCCTCTGAGCCTCGAGTTGGTGCCTCATTTTACGTCACCTGATCACGTAACTCCAGGTTCAGGTTTCTCAAGCTGTCCACAGAACTGCTGTTTTCTTCTGACCTTTTGATGGGGCTTTCAGGACTCGGGCCAATGTTAACTCGAACTGTAGATGAAACATTTTGTTCTTGTTTCTAATTAACGAAATGATATTCATTAAACACCACATTGTGATTGTTGCCGTAAAAACTGAAGGTGACGCCCGTAAACACTAATGGTAACGTTACAAATCATAACACAGGTGTATCTCTGGTTATTGCTGGAGTTACGGAATAGGTGCTTTGTGCAATAATCAGGAATAAAGGGGGCTAAGTGGTCTGGGGATAGGTGTCCGCCTCGAGTGCTGGGGGTTCCGGATTCAAGCCCCGGTTATGGCTAGGAAATTTTCACGTGTACTTCAAGTTATTTCCCCTGGTCTCTGGGTAGTAAGATCGGATGCCCATGTGTATTGTTGCGCACGTAAAGAAATCCCTTGGCAGTTGGAAATCGAAAAGAGTAGCATAACGGCGCTGCCCGGGCAAAATTCGCAGTTAAAAATCTAACCAAAGTATTTCAGGATCCTCGCCGGTGCAACAGAGTTCGTGCACTGCAGTAGAACAGAGCACTTGTGGGTTACATTCGTGTGCCATGATGTTGATCCGTCGAATAAACATAAACATCATGATCGGGAATGGAAGGCGAGCAGTCACCCTGCAGGAGAATCCGATTCTTGTGGGACAAAATCTGGCGTAAATTGTTTTCTCTCGCTTTTCAAATGCCTTTAAACTGTAACGAAAGCAGAGCGCAAAAACACGCATTTTTTGCAGTCGAATATCTGAGAACCCCCGGGGGAGGGGTGGAATAAAGAAATAAATTCATGTATGGTGACAGGAATTTATATAAATACTAGAAAATGGAATGACAAAAAATAAATAAAAGAATATGCCACAAAAATTTAAAATTGAAACCTGCTGAGCTGATAGACGTAGTGGTTGCAGACGAGTGAGTTTCTGTTTAATTTCCTTTGTGGGTCCGTTAGAATGACATGCTTGATTAACAGTGGCAAGTTTTTCAGGGTTTCTAGTCGGCTGTATCTACCTAAGATACTTGCATCCAGTGTTGCCACTTTGGATATTTTACATCCAGATTTAGATGTTTTTTCTTGCATTTAGATGGCGTTTCTGACGTTTAGTTGGTAGATGTTTTTCTAGAAGTTTTTCATTTGGGGTGAATTTATTAATCACCCAACGGTATTTATCATGGAATCAAGGCTGACAGGTTGCGATATCCATAATACCGAGCCTAAGGGTTAACAACTCATGGCTTCTGGATACTAAAACAAACAAACAAACAACAGTTAAGTTACATTAGGGCCCTTGGCAACAGCCAGGGTATGGCTTCAAAATAACGAAAAATTTTTATCACACAAGAGGACAAATTATAAATTATTTATGTGGTATGTCTACAGTAGTAGTCTCCGGTTCATTTGTACTTGTAAAGTAATCAGTTATACTTACATTTTGATTTAATTTAATTATACATTATGTATTTTAAAAACTATTTTTTAAAATAAACCAACAAGGACATTTTGTCTTTATGAGGAGCGTGTACGTTTTCCGTTAAAAATCTAATTAATATGATAAGGCACGCATTTAATTATAGTTTAAGAACACATTCTGACCAAAACATGCCTTCATAGTTTCTGTAAACCGTCGGCGGAATCTATTACACTCCTCTTTTTAATAACATTTTATTTTGTTTAAGAAGAAAAAAAGGCACTCTGCTTGTGGGTCTTATCATTTACTCAATGGGTTGGAGGAAAGGGTGTGGCTTGGAGGTCTTACCTTATACTCAATGGGTTGGAGGGAGGGGTGTGGCTTGGTAGTCTCACTATATACTCAATGGGTTGGAGGGAGGGGTGTGGCTTGGAGGTCTTACCATATACTCAATGGGTTGGAGGGAGGCGTGTGGCTTGGAGGTCTTACCTTATACTCAATGGGTTGGAGGGAGGGGTGTGGCTTGGAGGTCTTACCTTATACTCAATGGGTTGGAGGGGAGGGGTGTGGCTTGGAGGTCTTACCTTATACTCAATGGGTTGGAGGGAGGGGTGTGGCTTGGAGGTCTTACCTTATACTCAATGGGTTGGAGGGAGGGGTGTGGCTTGGAGGTCTTACCTTATACTCAATGGGTTGGAGGGAGGGGTGTGGCTTGGAGGTCTTACCTTATACTCAATGGGTTGGAGGGAGGGGTGTGGCTTGGAGGTCTTACCTTATACTCAATGGGTTGGAGGGAGGGGTGTGGCTTGGAGGTCTTACCATATACTCAATGGGTTGGAGGGAGGGGTGTGGCTTGGTAGTCTCACTATATACTTAGTGGGTTGGAGGGAGGCGTGTGGCTTGGGGATCTTACCATATACTCAATGGGTTGGAGGGAGGCGTGTGGCTTGGGGATCTTACCATATACTCAATGGGTTGGAGGGAGGCGTGTGGCTTGGAGGTCTTACCATATACTCAATGGGTTGGAGGGAGGCGTGTGGCTTGGGGATCTTACCATATACTCAATGGGTTGGAGGGAGGCGTGTGGCTTGGAAGTCTTACCATATACTCAATGGGTTGGAGGGAGGCGTGTGGCTTGGAGGTCTTACCATATACTCAATGGGTTGGAGGAAGGCGTGTGGCTTGGAGGTCTTACCATATACTCAATGGGTTGGAGGGAGGCGTGTGGCTTGGAGGTCTTACCATATACTCAATGGGTTGGAGGGAGAGGTGTGGGTAGTCTCACCTTATACTCAATCGGTTAGAGGGAGGGGTGTGGCTTGGTAGTCTCACCATATACTCAATGGGTTGAAAGGAGGGGTGAGGCTTGGAGGTCTTACCATATACTCAATGGGTTGGAGGGAGGCGTGTGGCTTGGAGGTCTTACCATATACTCAATGGGTTGGAGGGAGGCGTGTGGCTTGGAGGTCTTACCATATACTCAATGGGTTGGAGGGAGAGGTGTGGGTAGTCTCACCATATACTCAATCGGTTAGAGGGAGGGGTGTGGCTTGGTAGTCTCACCATATACTCAATGGGTTGAAAGGAAGGGTGAGGCTTGGAGGTCTTACCATATACTCAGTGGGTTGGAGGGAGGCGTGTGGCTTGGAGGTCTTACCATATACTCAATGGGTTGGAGGGAGGGGTGTGGCTTGGGGGTCTTACCATATACTCAATGGGTTGGAGGGAGGGGTGTGGCTTGGTGGTATTACCATATACTCAATGGGTGGGGCGGTGGGGTGTTTGGGGGTCTTACCATATACTCAATGGGTTAGATGGAGGGGTGTGGCTTGGAGGTCTTACCATATACACAGAAAGGGTTGGATACCACTGATCTGGAGTGTTCTTTGATATCTTTTTGGTTTCTTGCATAATAATCGTCCTCGTCGGTGTTTTTCTTTGCGCGTCACATGGGACTCCAGCCAACTTCCAAATTCCATCACATCTTAGGCAAACTGTTGTTCTATATGGTGCATGAAATTTATTTCAGTACTTCCCTCCTAGGAGTCGCCGTGGGGGAGCGGCTAGACGCAGGCCGCGGAACGGAAGGTCGTGGGTTCGCTCCCTGGCGGAGTCAGACTTTTTTTTTCAAAAATGACCTTGGCTTCCAGGTCGACCCAGCCTTGAGTGGGTACCGGGTGCAGTCCCGGGAAGTAAAGGCGACAGGTGTGATGCTGACCAAATCATCCATCTTGTGTCGATTGGTCTATAAAAATATAGGTCTAGCCCGATATGCCCCATAAGCCCAAAGGAGTGGAAAAGGGTTTTTTACACTTCACTCACCTATCTCCTCTGCCGTTTCTTTTACGGTTTTTCTTTGAGCGTCATTGCTTCCTCATTCAATTTTTTTTTTTTTTTCTGCTTTATCTCAGAATAATTGCAAGAGATCATCATATTCTTTCTCTTTTTACAACTGCTGCTGCAAACCATTTATGGTCTCAGCCTCGTATGAGGAGGAACGGGTAGGCGTAGGACCTCTTCCCCGTTTCCCATATAAATATTAATCTTGCCCCGGAAGTGACACTATTCGCTTGAACTGATTATTGACAATCTAAGTTACTTCAATTATCTGTTTGTGTGTAGGCTCCAAGAAAGTGTGGTAAGTATCTGACCTAAATATTACGAATCATGACCAGATTGAGGATTATAGTAAAAGCACATTTGTTAAAAAAAAAATGTAACTAGTCAATATTTTTTTTTTTAATATCTTAGGATAGTTTAGCATTGCCAGATAAAAAAAAAATTAAAGCTAATCTTTATTTCCCCCTAGTGCAACACATCTTTTTTTTTAACCATTTTGCTCTATAGTACTATAGATATCGCAACCCTTAGGCCTCGATTCCATTATAAATAACGTAAATCTGGAAGAAATGTGGCTTTTCTGCCTACCCCCTTTCGTGAACCCGGACCACAAGAAGTTCGTCAGTCGGTCGTCGCGAAGTCAGGTTTAGCCAACTACGCTAGCGAGCCAAATGTAACTCGTTAATAAATAATTAAGATTAGGTAAATGTAACCTTCTCCTCCTCCTCCACCTCCTTCTCTTCCTTTTTCTTTCTTTCTTTCTTTCTTTCTTTCTTTCTTTCTTTCTTTCTTTCTTTCTTTCTTTCTTTCTTTCTTTCTTTCTTTCTTTTCTTTCTTTCTTTCTTTCTTCTTTTCTTTTCTTTCTTCTTCTTTCTTTTCTTTCTTCTTCTTTTCTTTCTTTCTTTTTTCTTTTCTTTCTTTCTTTCTTCTTCTTCTTCTTCTTCTTCTTCTTCTTCTTCTTCTTCTTCTCTTCACTTCCTCTTTTACCTTTTCGGGTGTTTGTTGAGGTATGAATAGGGTAGTGCCTCTTGGTCTTTTGGCTACCTCGTCCATAGTCACATCGTGATGTAGAGTTTTCCTTGTTATCTTTCCTTTCCATCTTGTTGTTGGTTTACTTTGTTTTCTACATCCTTCTTCTCTTTTGATGTACGCCTTGTATGGTATAGCGTTACAAGATCTTTTTTTCTAAATAATATAACCATGTGATTTACTGTCACTGAACGTAATTTAGAATTGTTTCAGTGTCGACTTTTTTTTTCTTTTATGACCTCATTCCTGGTTCGGTCTCTTCTACTCATTGCTGCAGCCCTCCTCAGACCTCAGTTTCCTTGGTTACTAATTTAAATTTTTAGTTTGTTGTCAGTGACCATGTCTGGCACTGGTAGCATGTATTTGTGTTGAGCGGGATTGTCTTATTCTGTAAGGTGGGGAACATAAGGGCGGCTAGCTGTCTCAGTACTTGATGTTAATATTTTCACGTGGAAAAAAATGTATATAAAATACAGTATAAGATAGAGTTATTTGCGCTAATAATAAATACATAAGATAATTATAGGATAAAAAATAGAGTGATTTGCGCTAATAATAAATACATAAAATAATTATAGGATAAAATACATAACATAGGCAGGGCTGAAATTATTTTCATGCAATAACAAAGGATATGGAGGTTTTGAGCGAGCTGATTGAAGACTTACTTTAAAATGAGATAAAAAAAAACATAAATCGGTTCAGCAAACTATTACATCTACCCTGTGTATTTTTACCTCTGCCCGGCGTACTGATGCTTCTACTGGGTGTCCTGTTGTTGAAGCTCGACGCACTGTTGTCCCTGTTGAATGACAAACATCTACGCGCTCTGGGAGGAACTTCTTTATCGACTGTGGTTGGTCTACTACTTCGTGGTGTCCTGGCAAAGTTAGCACATCGTTCATGGCTGTCTGACTTGCTGCTCACTGTTTCTCTACCTCGAATGGAATGTAGATGTTTGTGTATTGCTTTTGTTTTATTAGCATTAACACGCTCAGAGTTGTGTACCTCTTTTGAGTCTTGTAAGGCTCCGTCTGCAGAGTTCTCGATATCATGGGAAGAATTCTGAAGTACGTCTTCTGGTACAATGCTGTCGCTAAGAGGTGTGAAGGGCTCTTCCGTTGGTAATTCTGATTCAAAAGTTGACTCATTTTCGACCGATTGCTGACGTGTGGAATTATTTTCCTTTTTCTTTGTCCCTTTCGTTGGTACTGAAATGTCATTTGAACTAAAATTGCTTTTAGACGAATGGGTCATCTTCTTTGGCAATAAAGAATCATCTTGCATAGGCTGTGGATTGGTTGTATTATATCTTTTCTGCTTTTCTTTATCACATTGTTTTATTTTGTAGACCGCAGGCTGTCTGCCTGGAATATGCCTAGGTTCACATAAAGTATTTTCAGGTATTTCTTGATTAGTTTTCCTCTTGGGTTTTAGTTTTATTGGCTGTGAACGTTGATTTGTTGAAACCACGGATACACATACACCATTGTCGTTTGAACTCGGGTCTTCAAGTCGGTCTAGAGACGATGACCTGATGTTTGCCTTTGCTGTCTTCGATGACTTCAT